AGCTAGCCAGTGGATTGCTTAGGGCCCTCATAACAACCCATAGTTAATAGTGATTTCAATCATTATGTCACAGTGGGAGAAAAAAGTGCTGGGGGCTGGAGGAAGAAGGAGACCCACTTTATTCATCTAAAATCAAAATAGTTGACTGGAAGAATATTCAAAACATATATGTATGGAGTTTTCCAACACCAAGTACATGCTGTCTTTCACACCAACAACCAATTCTCTGATTCTCAGGACAACTGCTGGGTAAATACTCTCTACTTGGAGTGAGCATCAGATCCTACAAGTTAAGGACTCAGTCCCACAAGACTATCCCCACGTCAGATGCCAGCTGCAAAGGAGGTGTACAGGCAACCCACACTTCTATCCATCAGAGTTTGAATGCATAACAGCTCATGGATTTCAAGAAAAACACTTTTGTTTACCAATTTATTATAAGTAATACTGGTCAGGAACAGTTGAACGGAAGAAATGCATAGGGCAAGGTGTGGGGGAGGCCCAGAACTTTCATGCCCTCTGTGGGCTAGTTACTGTCCTGGCACTTGCATGTGTTCACCAATCTGGAAGCTTTCTGAATCTTGTCATTCAAGAGTTTTCATAACCCAATCTCCATTCTCTCTCCTCTCCCTGGAGATTGAGGTTGGATGGGGCTGTAGGTTCCCACTCTCTAATCAAAGCTTGATCTCTCTGATGACCAACTGCATGTTGGCTACTTGAGATGATCTGGGGGCCCCACCCTAAGTCACCTCACCTCATTAGAATAACCTCAGGGCGGCTTAAAAGGGGCACTATATGAATAATAAGAGACACTCCTATTCTCAGGAAATTCCCAAGATTTTAGAAACCCTGTGCTAAGCACCTGGGATGTAGACGAAATATGTTTCTTATTATACCATAATGTATTTAAAAAAAAATCAAAACAAAACAAAGAAAATGTTCCCTTCTCTTTCATTATCTTGCCATAAATATTTCCATGCATGTGCATGCACACACAAAGTTTCCTACTGGCTCAAGGCAGGTGCTAATGGGAACCAATTCTGAGACCCATGGGAGAATTAGGGTTCTATGGTACGTCTCAGATCAAGGGCCCCTTACTCCCTTGTACGTCCCCTTAACAACTCCACATAATCCTGTCTTGAATATTTAATGAGAAGGAATCCCACAGAATTAGGAAGAGAAGGAAAGGCACAGACTCTTCCAGATGCTCTGGGAGTATTGGTATGTCTAGACTGACACTTATTATCAAGTACCCAATGTGCCAGGCACTGTCTGTAGGAAGATTTTGTTCAGGGCCTCTTGCCCTCCAGTGACATGAGTGGGGAATGAGTGCTTTAAAAGGATAAAAAAGCTCCTTCTGGAACTCGATTATTTACAAACCTCTTTACACATCCATTCTTCAGAAATGCTCATGGAAACCTGGGGGGGTCTCCTGCTCCCAGGGCACACAGCCCCAAGGTTTCTGCTCTGGCTCCCAGTGCCTAGTTGATGGGGCTTCTGCACCTTTACCTGTAGCTTGGTTATTACAGCTCTCCTGTCCTGTAGTATCTTATGAAATGGAGAAATTCCCCACCCCCTTTTTTAAGCCATCATTTGTCACATGCCTACCACGGCCACATGACTTACCTAATGCTGCACACATTTCATCCTTCCAGCACCATTGTGCCCTTTGAAGCAGGCATCTGTGAGGAAGCTGCAGGTCTGAGAGAGGGATCTGCCTTGTTAAAAAAAAAAATGCAACCGAGTAAACTTGAAGATCTAATTGACTTTATTAAAGGATATGTGAGTTGGGCAGCACTCCATATAGCAAGTAAAGGGAGCTTTCCATTGTACAAAATGAAAAGGTTTTATAGGATAGAGGGTGGGGCAAGAAAGTTATAAGCAAGAGAAAAGAAAGGATTGTTTCAGGCATGGAAACCTTACCTTTTGGGAAAAGGCAGAGGGTTTATCAAGCAGATTATCTCATCTTCCACTGGGGGATGGACAGGGTCCTGTGACCGACAGATGACTTCACTGAGGGTGATCAGAAAATTCCTGATTGCCCCTTTAAGATTTAGATTTCTGTGGGAGATTGAAAATGCAGTTAAGTGGGGCGCCTGGGTGGCTTAGTCGGTTAAGCGTCCGACTTTCGCTTAGGTCATGATCTCGCGGTTCGTGGGTTCGAGCCCCGCGTCGGGCTCTGTGCTGACTGCCAGCTCAGAGCCTGGAGCCTGTGTCTTCCTCTCTCTCTCTGACCCTTCCTTGCTCACGCTTTCTCTCTCTCTCCTAGAAATAAATAAAAATATTTAAAAAAAAAAAGAAAATTAAAAAAAAAAAAAAAGAAAATGCAGTTAAGTATTAAGCCCCAGTTTGGTGACTTGGCCTAAGTAATTTTGGGCCTGTGTTTTTGTTGTTGTTTGTTTTTAATGCTTATTCATTTTTAGGTGTGTGTGGGGAGAGAGAGAGAGAGAGAGAGAGAGAGAGAGAGAGAGAGAATCCAAAGCAGTCTTTGCACCGAATACAGAAGGCCTGATATTGGGCTTGAACTCAAGAGCCACGAGATCATGACCTTAGCAGAAGTCAGACACTTGGCCTACTGAGCCACTCAGGTGCCCCGGGTTGTTTTAACATCCTGCTTGAGCTCACACAGCTGGACTCTGCCACAGCCTTGGTGTAAACCCAGGTCTGCCTGGTTTCCACAACTCTCTGCAGCCCCTTTTCTGCCCTGAGGGTGGGGGAGACCCAATTTGGTTTTTGAATCAGCAGATGGGAGGCTCCTTCAGACAAGATGAACAGCCCCCATCTGCCAGTGGAGAGAGATTGGGTTAGAGAAGCAGCAATGGTAGAGCCTACTCAGCACTATTCTTGAAGTCAAATAATGCAGTTCTGAGTCCCGACCCAGTGGCTGACTGAAAGGATGTTGCTTCTCTGTTCTCTGGTCTCCCCTTATAAATAGGAAAAATAATCATACTGATATCCCTGGATCATGGTAAGCAAGGTGTACACATGACACTGAGCAAACAAAATGGTCAGGATACATGCCCATGGGACACATGCAGCTAAGATGATAGGTCACGTTGGAGGAGATGTGAAGTTGCTGGGGAGGCATACTGCAGCTCACACATGGTGCCATCTGAAGAGGCTGAAGTCTGACCAACCAAGTGGTTCTACTTCCCTGCCTTCTCTTCCTGTTTTGCCCATCACTTCAGCAGGTGGGGGAGATGGGCATTTGCCTGCCATGCCTACCTTCACTATGGGAGCCCTATGACCATGATTAGCATGGTGGCAATTGTGGCGGTGACAGGCATCCCAGGGTGAGATATGAGATCCTGGTAAGGAAGGCACAGGTGTTGAGTGTGGAAGGGCTTATCCCCTTGGTAAGGGAGAGAAAAGAAGGAATCACTGGGAAAATGGTGCAGAGACAGACCAGGCTGGAGCAAACACAGTTTAGTTTGTGCCTAGACATTCCTGAAAACCAGCTTCAACAAAACTGACCCTTCTGGGTACTGTCCTTCTCCTCCCCTTGCATCTCCTCCCCTCTTATCCCCTCCCCTCTACAAACTACCCACATCAATTAAAAATATCAGTAGGGCGGCTATATCCTAAATGCCCCGGATGATTTTTCAGCACATTATACATTGACAAATCTTTATTCTCAGAGGCCCATGGCTGTAAAGTGACATTACTCACCTGGCTATTCCCTCTCATCTGACTTCATATGGTCCCAGAGCTGGGACAGCCTTTTCAAATGGCCTGCCTGTCCTCTCCAGAGGATGGTGAGATCTGTGGGACGTGCTATGTGATGATCTATAATGCCTTGGCTACAATTCCCAATTCTCGATAGTTATGAAAATTAAAGAATTTTTGTCCCCTGTGATGTTGTTTTTGTAACTTAGCATCAAACTCACTGGGTCTAAAATTAAACTGAAATAAATGTGCAATGGAGGCATTTATTTTTCTTACTTAGTATCAGTATGCACATTTTGCTGCAGAAATAATGATATGTTTGATGATGGGAGTTGCTTTGATCCCAGCTGGAAGTGAGGCATCACGTACCTTTCTAAATCTGAGAAGGTCTGAGATCCACATCGTGGGTGGCCCCAGGGAAATTGAATACAGGATGGGACATTTACTGGGGGTCTGCCTTGATTATGGCACATTTGTAGGAGATGCTGAGTCCAAACAGACCTGCAACCCTGGCTCGATGTTGCTGTTTGTATAGCAGCGTAGGTGGGATCCTACATGAGCAGTCTTTACAGAGCTTGTGGACCCTAGGTAGGGCTGGGCTGTGTGGTCCTGACAAGGGTCCCTAGGCATGGGCCTTCCTCTGTCAAAGGTCACTCAAGAACCAAGAGCCTGACCTCAAGGAAATGCACTTGTGTTGGTGAGTTTATGACTATTTCCTGAGTCCCCGTCTTCAATCTTGTCCTGATTCAGGGTTTTACTGTCAAGACTGTGTGTTTGCATTTTGGGGTTGTGGCATCAGAAATGCTGTTCCTGCATGAAAATAAGGATTCCAGTCCAAAAACACATCCTCCTTAGAGGCTTCTGAGAGGTTCCCCAGCAGCTGCACAAAGTTGTTTCATGGAAATAAATATTCTTCATTTTTCTAGCTTAGTTCTTATTCCAGTTGAAATAAGTGAATTTATTTTTTCAAAGTGTCCTTTCAGTAGAGAAGTTTGAAAGCAAAACAGTTACTCATTTGGCTAGGAAAAAACCCATCTGCTGTGGGAGGGGAAGGCTTTAGGGCATGCAGTGGACCAGAATTAACTTTAATGCTACTGTCTGAATGTGGTCATGGTGACAGCAGGATCTTAAATGTGATTTTTATGCTGTTCATGGTCATTTTGCAAGAGATTATTTAATTCTCAGTTTCCGTATATTTTGTAGATAACAATTCAATTATGTAAATAAGTATCTGGAACTCTGTTTGGCCTTGAATGTATCTAATAATCCCTTATAAGATATATTAGTAGGCAAGGAAGCAAAGTGCTGCTAATGTCATTGTCTGTGTGTGTTAGTCTTGGACAGATCACTATTTACAATGGAATATGTCAGAATATCCAGGCGTGAAGACTGTTCGTTTCCCAGATGGCCTGATTTGGAAGCCAGACATTCTTCTCTATAACAGGTAAGCACACTGGGCAAATGGAGAAATGGTTTTATTTTTGTATATATGTAATAACCAAGCATATTTGAATATTTTATAGAAGTGCCAAACACATTATCTGTAATTTGAGACCGTTGCTGCCCGTGATGCTTTGTAAATGGCCAGGCCTTTGAGAAGCATTCTGACCCCCTCTCCCATGTTCTCTGGCTTGGCATGCAGGCTTGCATTACCCAGCACTCTGCCCAAGATGGCCACGTCTATAGGGCTGTGCATTATAGGAACATATATACTTTGTGCATATTGGCACTAAGGCGTTTTCACATGTGGAAGTATCTTTGCACCTGAATGGCAGCAGTTATGGTCACAGCATGTTTCTGACCCTTGGCATGCATGATTGAAGTCCACTGTTTGGACCCAGGTGCTCACCTGATCCATTTCCCATTGTGCATTAGGAGAGTCCTGCTGCCTGTAGTTGGGTGCATAAGTACCTTCACCTCTAGCTGTGCTGAGAAGCTTGTGATACAAGTGGAGTACTGGATAGAAGAAAGACAGATAACAGTCATATTCTAATATGGATTAAGAGCAGGACTCCTGCACCTGTGGCCAAGAAGTGAGAGATTCATAAGTGAAACGGGACAGTCTGATTTGTAGACCCGATGCCCAAAAGGCAAGTATTCAGGCAGGGTAAATTTCTCGAAGCACCAATTTTTTAAAAAATTTTTATTTATTTATTTTTGCTAAGCTACATAATCAAAATAAGGGGATCCAGAGGATCCCTTCTCAGTAAGGTTTAGATTGTGATAACAAGCGTAATATAAAAGAAAGATATTTCCTAATTGCAACAGCTGCCTTTGGTCCTAAGGAGGCCCCATGCCTTCCTTAGAAAACAGTGTGACCATTGGCCACTGTCCTTTGTTGTCACATGGTGATTCTGGGACCAGCTGATGTGTTTGTCCTACACTGACTGTTTCTAGAAGGCTGAGTAATTTCATTTCTTGTGAAGACTTTTTTTTTTTTTGAGATAGAAATAAAATAAGTTTTTATTAGAACCTCTGTTTTATTCAAAGAACTAGATCCATTACTTCTGAACCTCTTTCTCCAAGTCTCTCTCAACACCTCAAATCACTCTTCTAACATTCCCTTTCTGATCAGTCAGTAAATATTGACCATGCACCCACCATACAGTCTGCAGCCCCCCAGACTTCCTGAACTTAAGGCAAACAAATCAGTGCTTCTGTTTCAAAGTGACAAAGTCATGGGGACCTATCAGAAGATGGGTGATAGGGCTATACATGGCTCAAACTGAGGCACAGCCGGACCTGATCTTTGGCATTCTGCCATCTCTCTTACAAGTATGAACTTGTTTCTTCCCATGGAAGGTGTTCATAGAACTTTTAATTCTGTCTTTCTTGCTGGCACTTAGATTTCATTTGAATCATTGGGCCTGTTTCTAGAAGAATATGATTCCCTTCTGATTTGCTGCTACTGCTCAGCTTCTTAAATTAGTTCAGACACCTGAGCTCTGAAACATGTCTAAAGTCAGAGTAAGTGGTTGTCCCTACTGAGTAGGTGAACCACATGGAACCCTATGGCTAATCTTTGGGTCATTAGTTTCCAAGTGCTGACATAACAAAAGACCACAGAAATGGATTTTCTTTCAAAGGCTGAAAATCCAAGATTAAGGCATCTGCAGGTTTGGTTTTTTTTCTGAAGCTCCTGTCCTGTAACTTGTAGATGTCTGTCTTCTCTCTGTGTCTTCACATGGTCTTCCCTCTGCACAAGTCTGTGTTCTCTGATCTATTCTTGTGTGGACAACCATCACATTGGATTAGAGACCACTCAAACAACCTCATTTTAACTTAGCTACCTCTTTAAAGCCTCCAAATACAGTCACATACTGTGGAACTTCAACATATGAACAAATGTGAATTTGGAGGGGAACACAATTCAGCCCCTAAGAGTTGACTGCTTAAGGACAAAGAGGCAGCATTGGAGAAATCTGGGTATAAATCTTAACTATAATATTTAGTAGTATATACACGTTAAGTCTCAGATTCCTCCTTTGCAAAATGGGGGAGATGCCAGCTTCACAGAGTTTGGAAGGGATAACTCTGCATATGTACCAAGCATGCTTAGTATGGTACTTGGCAAAGACTGAATGCTCAGTGATGGTGGTTGTGCATTTATAGGCATGGTGATGAGGATTTCTGCTCAGAGTAAGATGATATGACAATTCAAAAAGAAATGTCAATAATTTTTTTGTATTTTGCCTAATTTAGTTCTTTTTCATTTGAAATCAAGAATAGATGTTACAATGTGGTAGAATCTTAATGAGTTTATAGAGATAGTTCTTATCAGTTATATGTAGGACCTCAAAACCTAATACATAAAATGTTTGATGCTTCTAATGTTCTGGCCAATGAAGAGTTACCATGTATTCTGAATGCAAACTGAATTTCAAGGAGCAAAGATGCAGTCCCCACCTGCTGTCATCAGAGAGCAGGCCCTCAGAAATAATGCTACTCCCCCATATCTGACCCAACTGATGGTCAGAACCCCTTTCCTCTCATGTTTCCTCTTGAGCTCTAAATAACTATCTTTTTTCTCTTTTCCTCATCTTCCTATTGACCACATCCACAAGCTTCTATCATGGAATATGTAGAAGCTGCCTCCTCTTCTGCTTTAGTTTTTCTGAGAAATGGGATATAGAACTTCCTTTCTGAAGTAACTGTTAAATATATGGCTTGCATGTCCACATGGACATGATGTAGCATAAGCAGGTTACAGAATACATGTAAGCCAGTCATAGACACAGTGTCAGTTATCTTTTGATGCTTGAGAGGCTCTCCTGAACTTGATGTCTTAAAAAATGTATGCATATTACTTCTCACCATGCTCTGGGCTGACTGACCCATGCGGTGGCCTGTCTGTTTAAGTCAGTTGTAGGCAAAAAGCGGGGGGCTGGGGCTCTGATGGGCTAGCATGTGTGGAGCCACACACACCCCCAGATGCTGGTGGGAGCTCAGCTGGGACAGTTACCTGTGCCACCTTTACTTCTTCATAAGCCTTTTCCACTGGACACAGGCAACCCCCAGTGTGGTGGCAGGAAGTACTCAGAGAGGAAGCAAATCGCACCTACCAGGTTCCTTAGAGACAAGCACAAGATTCCCAGAACAGCCCTGCAGAGTAGGCAAGGTCTCAGCCTGGATCAGGGAAGAAGTCAGCCTCACCTCTCTAGGACACACAGGGAGGGAGGGAAAGGAACACGAAGGTGTGCTCTATGGAAGGGAACAGGTGAAACAGGAAAACCAGATTAGAGTTGTGGGGAGAATGAAGGAATAAAACAGACATTTGTAATGAAGGAGCACTCAGTTAAGTGCACGCTGGAGGGACTGGTAGGAGGGAGAGAGAGAGTAGGTAGGCAAGCAGACAGAGTTTCCAAACACAGAGTGATAAGGATTATCCCCTGCCTCTATTTGCTGGCTTCCCTCTGCTGTCTGGACACAAGTCAGATGGCCTGGCCCACAGTGGTGAGTGGTCCAGTCCACCCCTGCAGCTGCCTCTTACACCTACTATTCCCCAGCTAGATGTTTGTCTTTCAGCTCCTTTGTGTTTCTGGACTCTTTTCCACTACAAGACATTTCTGTGAGCTCCCCTCTTGGTGTGGAAAGCTCACCCTTCTCTCATCCCTCGGACCTCAGCTTGACTCCCCGTTTCACTGAGTTCCTAGTGTGTCTCTCTGTCATGCTATGTCACAGAAAGGTGTTCCTGTCCCCCATGGCACATGGGCTCTGCCTCCTTCCACCAGTGGTCTAGAGAGTGCTTAATCAATATTTGTGCCTGGACATTATGGAAGGAGGAAGGGGGAATGCAGGAATTAAGAAGGGGGAAAGGGATGGATCTGTGTGACATGGGTGCTGCTAAGAACAGTAAGAGAAGAAAGGAAGGAAATCATATTGGCAAGCTAGAAAATATGAACCTGTGCCTGAGCCAAAAAATTGACACAGGAAGTAGCAAAAACAGGCTTGAATTTAATAGGATCTTGACCTTCTGATATTCTGTTATTGGAGATTTTGAGAGATGTTGAGCTTAATACTTTCTGCCAGCTTCCAGGCACTCCAAATAGTATGTTCTCTCAGTAGGCTTAAGTGATGGTTCATTAAATTGTTATGTTTGCAGGGGGAGCTTTCCCTTAAGGAGGGGGGCATGCCATCATTCTGCATAAGCCATGGTTTTGAAAGGAGCATTGATTCAGGTTAAGGGAGGCATCACAAACATGTTCGTCACATTTCTTGCTCAATTCTGGTTTGATATTGGAGTCCAAGCTTGAGCCACTAATGGTTTTTGGGATATAATACATTTTTCTGTGTTTGAAGAGGCTGGGTCATTGCAAAGCAGCCATCTTGGCATCATTTCTGGGATGGGCTGCTTTATTTCCCTGATGGATGGTGAACAAGTTACAGTGCTGCCAGCCAGCTGGCCGGGTTGCTCTGAGGAGAGGACGGGCGCTGATAAAAGCATCCCTGCTGGATGCTGATCCCAGTACTTTCTTGGTTGCTTTATTCTGCTGTACTTTAAGCCTGCAGTTCAAGGATTTTTCTGAACACAATCCTGCTCAAAGTGAATGGCAATTGTGGATAGCTTTTCATGATTTTCCCATTTGGGCAGAATAAAAGGCCTCATTCTTATCAGTAGTCAGCTTGCAGAAGAAAGCCTGAACTGCTGTGACACCTTGGCTGCCCCTGCCTTCACTGTGCAGCCATAGGCAGCTACCTCAGTCTCTCTGGGCTTCTCCATTCTTAAGCTGCTCAGTCAGAAAATCCTGTGATAATAGTGGAATCTTTGTTGATGAGTATATTTGAAGATGTTTTTATTGGCTCTGTATTTTTAGGACATGAAGTGTCAACCACTCCTTTCATATAGCCTGTACAAAGCTGTATTTGCATATCTGCAGACTCATGTTTGCCTCTGAGATTAGAGCCCTTTGGCTATAACCCTCTTTCTGTCACATACTCCCATGA